AGGGGCAGCCCCCATTTGGTTCGGCCATTCCCTGTGGTTTCTTTCCCCATCCGGACTACACCTTCCTGAGGCCCCTACCACCAATGCAAGGACCTCTCTCCCCCCTTGTTCACTTCCTCAGAACTTTCGGGAGGCTAACAATCCCGGCTCCCTTTGCATTCATATACATAAGGCCGATCATCTTGGCCATCGCGAAATGCTTGGAGAACAACTCCTCTCTCGCCACAGACTCTGTCGTCCAAGATCAGAAACTCGGAAAATTTCTGACCCCGTCAGGCATTGCACGCATCCTCCTCTGCCTACAGGGGTCACCGGTAAAACCCCCAGAGGAGGCCCCCCCCTTGGTTTACCCAGAGCCTTCCCTGGATGATGCATCGAAGAAGGGGACAAGGTGGAGTTGTGTGCCACTAGAGCCGGGAAAACACAGATCCCCTTCCCCGCTCAACCTCAACACAGCAGAGCAGCGCCCTCTGCCACAACCAATGGTGTCGTAGGTACGGGGTGGTGGGATGTCTCCTCAGGAACCGCAAGCTCCCACCTCCGGCCCCCACCGGTCATCCCTTCACCGCAGCAACCAAGGCATAACCCGCATTATCTTCTCCAGAGGGTTTGATTTCTCGATTTATGCGAGTCGTCCTTGCGCAGGACCCATGCTAATCTACTCTGTATCGTTCCAATTTTAACGGACGTCCCGAAGGACAAAGAGGGTTTGCTGATTGTTTCCACGGCGGCGGAAATTTCAAGAGCAGAGGGATCCAGAAATGCCAACACCAGAGGGATTCAGAAATACCAACACCAGAGGGGATCCAGAAGAAAAACATCGACCGGAGGAAGGGTGGAGATATCCTCCGTTTACTCCTGTGTGTGCATCATTCCATGTGTGTGTAGCCGCCGTGGAAACAGTCGGTAGGCCTCTCACCAAAGGTGAAATTGAGAGAAGAATATAGAGCTTAGTTAAAAAAATAAAAATAAAAAAATTGCTGAAAAGAAGAAGGCCGAAATATAATGGAGAGGACCAGGATCTTCAGGGATACAGCTTTTTTTTTTTTTTTT